TGGACATTTATTCTTTGCCCTGTCCAGCTGCTGTATTTCTCCACAATCTTCTTAATTTTATTTGCATTTCTTCGGTTTGCTTCAGAAAATACTATAATATCGTCGGCATACTGCAGATGAGATACTTTATCTGCTGATGGGGAAACCTTGACTCCGATCTTAGCTCCTTTCTGATTAAACGCTTCAATCAACAGTTGTGAGCACATGATAAAGAGACAGGGGGATAAAGGACATCCCTGCCTAAAGCCACACTTTGCCCGAATCCACTTGGTATTGAAACCATTAATAATAATGGAATACTTAATGTCCACCACACATTGAAGGAGTAGATTTAAGAAAGTCCTTGGGAAACCGTATAGCTCTAACACCTGCCTCAAAGTTTTTCACCCCATACTATCATATGCCTGCTCATGTCCACCTTGATGGCCATCATACACTTTTTTGCTTTAGAGAATCTGAATTTGTTAATAATTTCTTGTGTGAGCAATATATTTTCTGAAATGGATCTTCCCTTAATGAATGCCACTTAATTTTCTGAAACATTTTGGGAATAAAACGAACAAGCCGGTTCACTAACATTCTAGCTACAATTTTGTAAATGGAATTGCATAGACTGGTAGGTCTATAGTTGGAGGGTATCAGAGTATTCTTCATCTTAGGGATGAGAACAACAGATGTCTCCCTCCACTCCTCACACATAACTCCTGAGTTAATGAATTGGCAAATGGCCTTCCAAACTTCGTTCTTAATTATAGACCAATAAAACTTTATGAAGGAATAAGAGATACTGTCTACTCCCGGTGATATATTGCCTTCCAATTTGCTGATGACAGTTTCCAATTCTTCTTGAGCAAAATCAGAATTGAGCAGTTTTTTGTCTTCATCCAGAACGCCTCCAAGCTTCGGCCATCTCACTAGAGAACACCTCCTGACTTTCCACTTCTCTTTGAAATACTCATAAAAGATTTCTTCCATTCTGCTTTGCTCCTCGGTCATTCTTCCATTAGGATCTTTGATTTGTTTAATGTGATTGTTGTTACGTCTTAAAGAAGCAACAAAGTGAAAATATTCTGAGTTAGAATCGTTGTCTTTAAACCACTTTATTATTGCTCTTTGTCTCCACCATGAGCTAAGTCTTCCCAATGTTGAATTTAACTCCTTCACCTTGCTTCTAAGCAAACAAATCTTCTCATCTGATAAACCTCCTGAAATAGCCTCTTCCTCTTGCAACCTGATAATCTCCTCCTCCAAATTTTCCTTCAGGATATTAAGGTTTGAATGCTTGGCTCTACTCCAACGGAATAAATCCTTAAGAACTCTTCTGAATTTATGATTCAATACTTGAACGTCATCCCCCCCAGCTGGTTTCGACCATGATTTATCTACAATAATTCTAGAAGCTGGAAAAGAGGTCCAGATTTCTTCAAACTGCAATTTTTATATCTCCGGAATCCTGAAGTAAACAGTTTTATAACTATTGGGCAGTGATCTGATGCAATCCTCCCTAGATGACGAACCACTGCTCGTTGAGTAACCTTCAATGCTGCCGAATTCAGGAGACATCTGTCCAGCCTTTCCAAGATGCGAGCTCCCCCCTTCTTGTTATTACACCATGCATACTTAGGACCATCTATCCCAGTGTCATGGAAATCGCAACTATTCATAAACATTTGCATATCTTGAGGTCCCTGAGAGAAAACGAACCTCTTACCTCCTCTCTTCTCCTCTTGAGGTAATATAAAGTTGAAGTCTCCTCCCATTATGAACGGAAGATTCACATTCGAATAACTCTATAATATCTCTCACAAATGTCTCCTCTTGTAGATATCTTTACTTCCATAAATTGTGGCTATAAGCCATTCTACTTTGTTATGAATTTTAAGCGAACCAACTGCAACTTGAGAAGAAGCATGTAGAACTGTGAATGAACAAATGGTAGTCTTCCAACAGATCAAAACTCCCCCTGAAAGACCTTCAGCTGGGACGCAGAAGAAGTCCCAGCTATTTCCAATCAATTTGTTGATTGCAAATCTATCAAAAAATGTTACCTTCGTTTCTACTAACCCAACAAAGAATGTGTCAGATTCTTTCACGAACTCCCTTAAGTAGTGAAAGGCTTCTACCTTTCTAGCCCCTCTGCAATTCCAAAAGGCTAGAGATGTCATTTGGGTTTAAGAATGGGATTGATCCCATTCTTATTTTTCTTACTGCTTCTCCTTTTTCCTTCTTTGAGATATTATGTTATCTTTGCCCAGCAAATTTAACTCTTTAAAGAGCTTTCCTTTGCTTTTAACAGAATCAGCCATCAACCTTTCTGATTCTGTTTCACCAATTTTCATGTTAATGCTTTTAATTTCACCTTCCTCCAGCTCTTCTACCGTGGCCACAGATCCAAGAATTTCCTCTGGTTCATTTGAACAGAGGTTAAGAATTCCGAACTTGTTTATGTCAACAACTGGATATTGAATCACTGAATTGACTCCTGAGATCTCAAGAGCTTCAGTATTCACATTGTGTTCTCTAAGATCCTCCTCTACAGCTACATCCTCTGTATTTACAGCTTTTACTGGGATGTCTTCCGTCTCCTCTACAACTCCTGCCTCTACAATTTGAACTGGGACATCTACAACAGCTTGTTCAGATGGGAGAGATAATTTTTCAGTAGATTTTTGAAGTTTGAACAAACATCGCTTTTGTTTTCTTGAATCTATCAATCTTCTGATTGACATTACCCATTACAGGTAACACCTTCTTTCTTCTTTTCATATTTTTGACAAGAATTCAAGGCCCGTAAACCTTGTCTGAATTTCCTTCCTCCAGTTGAGTGGGTTGAGAATGCTTTTCCACTTCTGGATTGTTCGCATAAACTTCCTGTCTCCCTTCCATTCCATCTTTGCAATTGTCTACCAAGTGACCAACCTTCCCGCACTTCAAACAAAAAGAGGACACTTTCTCATACTCTGCCTTCTGAAAAAAACGTCCACATGATCCTTCCACCCAAACGCCAGTTGGAAACTGTTGATTTAGGGCCATGCAAACACAGACTCTAGCATACTCCCTTTTGCTCCACTGAAACATGTTGCCGTCAATCCAAAGTGGCTGTCCTATTTTTGAAGCAATCCTGGCCACATTATCTTCATCCCAGCAGATTAAAGGGAGATGTGGGAATCTTACCCAAATTGGTGATGTTAATCCCTTCAATGATGAAGGGGAAAAAAGAGGAGACCACCTATCAATCCCCACTATATGTCCATTGACATACCAAGGCCCTCCTAAAACTTTATCCACAGCTTCATTAACAAAGGAGCAAAGGATCCATCCAAGATCAAGAGAAGTTATATGGAACTTCCCAAACATGCTCCATTGTCGAAGCTCTCTAGCAATCACATAGATTGGAGCATTTTCTCCAAATACTTTCACTACTACAGATAACTGTAGTTTTTCAGAATTCATCTTCATACTTATTCATTCAATCTGATTGTTCTTCCGTCTTCAGACAGGAAAGATTCGTCAGTTGGTAAATTGCATTTGATGTTAGGTTTCCTTGCCCATGAATTCTGAGCATTTAAACCTTGCTTCTTATCATTTATTTCTTTGGTGTTTCCTTCCTCAACATTGTCACGAGCATGTAGAGTGTTCTCCATCAGTTTACTTGAAAATGATACTCCATTCTCCAAAAATAGAGGTTTAGCAACATTATTGCTGAACCTGTTCACAAATAGTTTCATCCCCGAAGAAGAAGTTGCTTCTCTGTCATTTACTATCAGCGACGAACCACTTTTTTTATGATAATTCTTCTCTGAAGCTTCAATCACAATTCCTTTGCCTTTTCCAGGAACTTGGGGAGATTTCTTTACAACTTCTGGCAATGGCTCATTGATCTTTAAAGGCCTTGCTTTGAAAGTTATTTTGGAGACATCTGATTTGCCAAAGTTCAAGGATAGATCGCCGGGAGGAATCCGACGGTCAGCGGCGAATGCCGCTGCTTCATCCGTCATCGGCGAACAACCCACCAAAATTGCGGAACAGAGAAATTTGAAAAAACAACGAACTTTCTCTCTCTAGGAACTCCGGCAACTTTCTCTCTCTAGGAACTCCCAAAGCAATAAAAGTTGCTATCTTTTATTATTCATATGCTTAGGGTGAGTTTATTTGTTGATTTTAATTCAGCAAATAAATTGATCTTGTGTAGGTTTGATCTACTTAACTTAAAACATGAGTTAAGTGTAGGTGGGAATTTTCTATAATTTTTTAGTTATAGAAAATGAGAACCAATATGCAACTTAGGTGTTGCAAATTGGAAGAGGTTTTTTAAATTTTTTTGTGTTCAAAGGGGGATATTCATTTGCCTAATTTGAGGCTAAACAAATGAAGGAGATTAGGATTTGGGTCATATGTCTTGAGGATCAACTGTTGATTTTGGATTCAACAATTGGGCTAGAAGAATTTAGGATTCGGTCCTAAAGCTCAATGATTCATGTAATAATGCAGTTGAAATTTTGAGAGATTTTAAATGATCATGCATGAGAAAGAGGAGGATCTAAAATAGTTTTTTTTTTTTTTTTTTTTTTTTTTGAGTTTTTTCGATTCATTTAATAGGAGAGGTTAATTCCTACATCCTCTGAGAGATTTTAAAATCAATTAGATATGAACTAGATATCCTAGAGATGTATGAATGTGACGTGCATTTTTGGGATTTCACTTCAACCATCTAATTTGAAGGTTAGGGTTAAATAATTCAGTGCTCATGGGATTTTGAGGGCCCATATTACATACTACACATTTAAATTAGAGTTCACATGTAACAGCTAAGAAATAACATTTAACAGTTAAGAAATAATTTATTCAGCAAGAATCATGTTCAAAGGTAACAACGGCAATGATGCCATTTTAGACAGAACAAGGATTATTTTTCATAATAATATTGCATCTAGTTCAAATTTCCTTGTTTCATAAATTACTTTGATATCTGCACGGCAGCTTACCTAATGTATTTTCAGGTTGAAAGGCTAGCCAGGGATTGTTTCTTTTTCCTCACCGAGTCGGCTCCATTTGACGAGGCAACTTTTGGTAGGTTCTCAGATTCCTGTATTGCAAGGCCCATGCAGGCATGTAGACCAATCTGTTATGCTTTTGAAATGGTTCCTCCTACTGATATCCAATTTGGTGATTATGCTGCTGCACTTCACATTGGTCTATACAACAATCAATGAAGCTGGCAACTTTCATTTATTGTGAAGCCATATTTTTATGTTAATGTAATTCGACATGCATTAGGGAACCGCTTTTGTCTTAATTTTGTACAGGGAGTCCGCTTCTCTTGTCCGATTACTGCATTAGGTTGACTATCTGCCTCTGGAGTTCATTAGGTTATATATATATACATTAGTTGTGTTTAAGCTATTCTTGTATCGTTTGTTCTGACTTAAATAGGCACATGGATTAATTTAGTAAAATATAAAGCATGATGTCTTGAGCTCAGCCTTAAAAATTTCTTGTGGAGTCTATTGTATTGGCTGCATTTGCTCTTTGGGAGAACATTTGAAGCCTTGCTGGGACTACGTTTGTCGCTTTGCATGGAGTGTTCGTTACACTTAATGTTTTAATTAATGGATTGCAATATGAACAGTTGATGACAATTGGCTCTGACAACGCTTCATCTTTATGAAAAGGTAATGGTTAAATTTAATAAGTCATTAGTATGACATCCTTATCTAGTACTATTTTCGCCTGTACCTCTACATTCAATTGAAACTATTGTAGGATATCTACATTACTTTTATTATTAATTAAACCATTATGTTATAAAAATGGCTACAATGTCCTTAATGGATCAAATTCATAATATGCTTTGAATGCCTTAGCATAATTCATTTATTAAATTTGAATAATTCATAATAATATATAATTAATTAACATTAAGGCCAGCACATTTTTTTTTTTTTTTTTATTAAGGCTCAGCACATTTGTCATGGCGTTTTCTAGTTTTAGGAAGCGCAAAAATATGTTGTGATTTATTAAGGAGAAATTTGACTTCATATGTTAAATTGTATATATTTGGAGATATTCTTCGTATAAGTGCATTTGGAAAAATAAATCCAAAAGTTTTTTTCTGATGAAAATATAATTAACATTAAGGGTCAGCACATTTGTCATGCCTTGTTTTTCTAGTTTTAGAAAGTTCAAAATATGTTGTGATTTATTAAGGGGAAATTTGACTTTATTTGTTGAATTGTATATATTTGGAGATGTTCTTAATAAATGTGTTTTTGGAAAAAAAAACCAAATGTGTTTTTATTTGAAAATATTCTTAAAATACCTGCAGCTATTTTCTACTCAAATAATAAAGAAATATAATTTCTAGCTTCTCCATACACATCCTTATATTTCCTAATATAACCCTTACTAATTTTTTCATTCTTGTTCTTGAGATTTCTTCTTACAACAAGATGAGAATATCGTTTGAGAATATTGTATGATGTAGTTGAATTTGATGACATAGTTATATACTCAAATATGCTTTAAAATGTATTTAGAAGGCAGATGGTGAGTCATGATAGAGGAACACCCTTAAAAGGGGCTTCCTCGGGGAACTTGTGGGAGAAATTGCCAAACATAACTTACATAAATCACTTTGTCAAGCATTCTTACGTGTTCGTTCTACACGGGGCGGATTGAGGTTCCTCCTAGAGCTAGCTTCTCAGCAATTGACATGTACCTTGTTCCAATTTGAGTATCTCTCCTGGAGCGACCTTTCTAGTTGAATTTTGCTACATGAAGGCACTTACTCCAGAGACTTTCAGTTTGACTCATCACGATTATTTGAGCTGAGTTGTCCTTTCCCACAATAACATCTCACTTACCGTTGTCTTCTCAACTGATCCAACAGCTTCCATATTGGTCATCGAACATCAACAAGCTCGCCAGTTGGTTGTCCTATTTCATCTCAGAACAAGCTTGCAGACCCACTCGAGCACACTCCCTCTCATCCACTCAACTTCACTAAGCTAGCCTAGAGATGATTTGTCAACGTCTTCCGAACTCACCCCTCGAGCAAATCAAGAGATGACGTGTGTATAGTATAGTGTCCAGCATTGTGTGAATAATTTTTGTACTATTTACTTTTTGGCTTTTTCTTTCTTAGTCATTCTTGTTGCCCTTAGAACTGTATAAATAAGAGATGATGAGGAGTAGTTTATGAACTTTTAGATAGATATAGTAGATACTTAATTTTTAAACTCATAATTTCTTGAGTATAAAAATGAGTGAGAAAGAATTTTAATTTTTATTAATTAATATAAAAGGGTGTAAGAGATCTAAAGTAAACCATAAAATAATTTAAAAATTGAATAACTAATAATGTTATTTGATTAGATCTCATAATATGGTTTTCACCCAATAAGAATAAATTTAGAGATTTATTCAAGATGCAAAATCATTATGTATCACAAGTTTATCCATAGCGAATAGGTGCTAAAAATCATAAGAATAAAATATTATATTGTAAAAAAATGTTCAAGGGTAAAAGGGTCCCATGAAAATTTTTATAATGTTTAGTACTATTGCTTACAACCATGCTTAGAGCTCTCTAACCCAAGGTTCCCGCACTTTCCCTTTCCTTCACCATCAGGTGGATAAATCTCTCTCCTAGATGGTTAATGGAGAAAACCTCTTCTATTCTATGCTAGAAGATCACTACTCTAGGTCAATATTTATTTAACAAATATACCAATTGAATCATTGAGATCCCATGGATCCATTAGAATCTTTAGTGTAGTAAGAACTCAACAAACTAACTCAATTGGAGGATTAAGATTAAAGTGAAGAGGAAAATACCCTCATAATTGCACTCTTATTATGAAATATCTTATTGTAGGTTTTTTTTTTTTTTTTTTTGAGTGAAATTTTTCAATTCAAACGAAAAAAGAACTCTTTTAAAAGTGGCACCTCTCTCTTCCTTCTTTTTCAAGCATTTTTAGCTCTTTCATAGTTTAGTGTTTTAATAAGTATATATATTAAGTGTCAAAAAAATCAAACCCTAAAGCATGATATTTGTAAGGTATGGTCAGATCATGCAATATGATACAAAAATATAATGTATGATTAATATAAAATAGATTAATTTTTTGATATTTCTAATCTATTTAATTATCCTATATATTATGCATCATACAACATGATTAGTTTAGCCTGATACACATTAATTATCCCTTTACTTACTAGGTGTAATTAAAATATATCAAGAAACTTATAATGTTGTATGATGTACATCCATACATCATACAGTATGAATATTACAAACATAAGGAAAAAAGGTTTAGTAGATTAAATTTCGATTTAAATTGGATTTTATAGTATAATATACATCATAAAATAACATAAGTTTATTAGTATTAATTTTACAAATATCCTCTTTAATGTAAATAGATCTAACATGTATTTTCTAAATGGAGGCCATGCATAGTATGATAGATATCCTATAGTATAAATTTATATTTATTTGAAATTTAAAGTTAATTATTACTTAATTCACTGATGTGCGTGTATGCTAGTTATTTCACAAGTCTCTTAATGTGGAACACACCCAAAATGACTTAAAATAAACACAGATTTCATAACTCGTGAAAATAACTATTGTAATACTAAAAAGGATTATCTCTAACTCATTTTGAAACTATGAGTTGGTAATATTTTATCCTAACATTCTTTGCCTGAGCTAAGTCTATTTTCTAAATATGCGTACGTTCCACTTTGACATTTCACCAATGTATCTTAAATATCTTGTGTATACATATAGTTGTTACTGTTAAACCCTACACAAAGATGGATTAATCAACAATACATAATCTCAACTAAATTATATTTATGATTATCAAAAGTCAATGATTAGATCTAGGCTAAGGGGTGAACTCCTAAGCCACCTTTAAAAAATTATAATCATATTTTTTCATGTTAATTATGAAATGTTTAGTCACAATGATTGATGAGGAACTTAACACTTCATGATATTTTAAACATGTTTACTTCTATTTGAACGCTTGCATTCATGGTCTCAAAGGTCCAAACCATCCAATGCTAAACATTTGTTATTTCAAGAATTGATGGAATGTTATTTCTAGTTGTGGCCTAAAATTGGATTGCTTAGATTTTTCATTTTTTTGTATTTAAAATGCTTTAGTAAAAAAATAACTCATCAATGTATTTTATGTTTGATATTTTATCAATAAATTATCTTAATAGGGCACAAATCTCAAGGCAAAATCAAGCTGGAAACTTCAAAAATTAAATCCAGGATCACATGAACTACGATTTCAGCAAACACACAGTTTAACTGAGCATCTCGGATATACGAACCCAACGACACCAAATTCGACTCAATCCGAGCCCAAATGAGTCCAAATCAAGGACTCGAAGCACTGTTGGAAGGTTCGAACTACAATTTAGATTACCAAACGGTTTCCAAACATGACATGCTTATATTTGAATCGAGCGACTTGGCGAGAAGAATCCAACGACCCCAAGATCGTTGAATTCTGACACTACTAAGACCTTCAAATGTCTGACGAGCGGTCCCTGATCAAGGGTGTTACAAACATGTTTTTAGATTATGGTTTTGATGATAGCAAACAAATCTTGCTTCACTACGACTGCTTTTTTCTACTGACTTTTCAGGACTCAAAGATCAAACGGAAATCAGAATCAGCTCAAGATGGGGTAGATTAGGGTTGAGTCAGTCTGTAATTTTATTTTTCCCCACTTGAGTCAATTGTAATCTTTGGTGTGACTAATGCAAAGTAACCCTACACACACACACACACACTTGAGAGGCTTAGAATTTCTGTTTTTACTCAAATCGGACAGGATGATATTTACATCATCCTAGACGATCTGGCTTAAAACAGAAAATATAATCAGGGGTTCTTAATGAAGGTAGCCGTCATTATCCAATCGGCCTGGACGATATATGTATCGGCCAGGACGATAGGATCAAAAAGGAAAGAAATTGCCACCATAAACAATTAAGGTATTCTGTATTTTTAGCAATCGGCCAGGACGATCTTGGATCGGCCTTGACGATATTCATAATTATGCCTTAATTAATCAGACAAATCAAGAAAGTAATTAAGGATGCTTGATACGATCACATCGTCCTAGATGATCGCAGGATCGGTCAGGACGATCTAGACAAAAACCTTAGTTACTTCTGGACGATTAATATCGGCAAGCACAAATTCAGGGTGATGCTCTGGACGATTTTCATCTGATTTGAACCGATCGGCTGGGACGATCGTGATATCGTCCTGGATGATCAAGCCAATTTTTCAATCGTCCAATTTGCATTAAGGACGATGCCCTGGCCGATCTCTTGGGATTTGTATTGATCGGCTAGGACGATTTACATATCGTCCTGGACGATATAGTCGGTAACTTGCAATTAATGAGCTCCTTTGAAGCTCTTCTATTTAAGTGACCTTGTTCAATATTTTTGAA